GCAGAGCGCGGCTGGGGAGATGGCGTTGCGGCTGCTGTACTGCAGCAGGGACACAGCACCGACGTCCCCTTCAGTCCCCCCATCCCTAACAGACACAAACGCATCTGCTGGGCTGCTGGGTGGAGCTGGAGGCAGAATTGTCCTGATTTTCGGTTTCCCTTCCCCTCCCCTCAGACAGGCCTGATGATCCCTCTGACATCTCCTCCACCTTCATCCCTCCTGGCCCAGCCCTTTCACATATGCCTCCCCAGATGTTTCCAAATGGAGGAGTGGAGATTTTTCATCCGCTCCTGGGCCCAATCCTTAAGGTCTAGGTGGCCTCCTATGCCAAGCCCTTGGAGAGCTCCGGGCTCTTCCCACCCTACACAGGAGCAGAGCACTGGGGTGACGATAAGTGGAAAGCTTTTCAGATCAGGGAACAGGGCAGCCCCCTGTATGCCTGACACCCACTGTGAGTCTTCCCTGCCCGGTTCCATTTCTCATTCTCCCCCTGATATGTCTCCTCATGGCTCCTAACATGGCTGAGCTGAGACAGTGGCTGGGAGGACCGAGTTACAGATGCTCTATTGCTGCCCAGAATCCGCCTGTAATTGCACACCAACAGGTGTGCACACGTTAGCTGGGCTGCAGGGTGCAGCTGGGGACAGAATGTGTGTGAGGGTTTCTAGCTGTCTCGCGGGGTTCCTAAGAGTGTGAGGGATCTGTGTCCGTGTCTTCTTGGGGTGTCCCTTGTGCATGAGGTACAGTGTGTAGGAGATAGATAAATAGATAGATAGATAGATTTATTTGCCCAGGGCAATAACTTATAACTTCCTCAATTCATAGATTCCAAGGCCAGAAGGGACCATTGTGATCAGTTACGCTGAATATCTTTGCCAGTGGTTTTCAATCTGCGGTCCATGGACCCCAGAGGGGTCAGCCGACTATGTCTAAGGGGTCTCTGAAAGGTTGTTGTTACCACAGAAAGTGGCTTTTAACCTGTGTTCTGCAGATCCCTGGGGGGTCCACAGATTATGGCTAAAATTTCCAAAGGGGTCTGCACCTCCATTCAAAATTTTTAGGGCTTCACAAATTAAAACCACTGCTCTAGGCCATAGAACTCCCCCAAAGTAATTCCTGTGTGACCCTGGGGGACCGGGGATCATTTCCCTGCTCCATTACAAATGCCTGTGTAACCTTAGCAACTCACTTATGGCCACAGTTTCAAAGGTATTTAGCCACCTAAAGCAGCAGATACACAGCTAATGGGATTTTCAAAATAATCTAAGGGTATGTCTACACTACGGAATAAGGTCGAATTTATAGAAGTCGGTTTTTTAGAAATCGGTTTTATATATTCGAGTGTGTGTATCCCCACAGAAAATGCTCTAAGTGCATTAAGTGCATTAACTCGGCGGAGGGCTTCCACAGTACCGAGGCTAGAGTCGACTTCCGGAGCGTTGCACTGTGGGTAGCTATCCCACAGTTCCCGCAGTCTCCGCTGCCCATTGGAATTCTGGGTTGAGATCCCAATGCCTGATGGGGCTAAAACATTGTTGCGGGTGGTTCTGGGTACATATCGTCAGGCCCCCGTTCCCTCCCTCCCTCCGTGAAAGCAAGGGCAGACAATCATTTCGCGCCTTTTTTCCTGAGTTACCTGTGCAGACGCCATACCACTGCAAGCATGGAGCCCGCTCAGGTAACCGTCACCCTATGTCTCCTGGGTGCTGGCAGACGCGGTACGGCATTGCTACACAGTAGCAGAAACCCCTTGCCTTGTGGCAGCAGACGGTACAGTACGACTGGTAGCCGTCATCGTCATGTCCGAGGTGCTCCTGGCCACGTCGGCTGGGAGCGCCTGGGCAGACATGGGTGCAGGGACTAAATTTGGAGTGACTTGACCAGGTCATTCTCTTTAGTCCTGCCTGCAGTCAGTCCTATTGAACCGTCTTATGGTGAGCGGGCAGGCGATACGGACTGCTAGCAGTCGTACTGTACCATCTTCTGCCGAGCAGCCATGAGATGTGGATGGCATGCAGTCCTTCTGCACCGTCTGCTGCCAGCCAAAGATGTAAAAGATAGATGGAGTGGATCAAAACAAGAAATAGACCAGATTTGTTTTGTACTCATTTGCTTCCCCCCCTCCCCTGTCTAGGGGACTCATTCTTCTAGATCACACTGCAGTCACTCACAGAGAAGGTGCAGCGAGGTAAATCTAGCCATGTATCAATCAGAGGCCAGGCTAACCTCCTTGTTCCAATAAGGACAATAACTTAGGTGCACCATTTCTTATTGGAACCCTCCGTGAAGTCCTGCCTGAAATACTCCTAGATGTAAAGCCACCCCCTTTGTTGATTTTAGCTCCCTGAAGCCAACCCTGTAAGCGCCCCTCCCGGCGTCAGAGCAACGGCAAACAATCGGGCATCTGAGAGTGCTGTCCAGAGCAGTCACAATGGAGCACTCTGATGGGGCTAAAACATTGTCGCGGGTGGTTCTGGGTACGTATCGTCAGGCCCCCGTTCCCTCCCTCCCTCCGTGAAAGCAAGGGCAGACAATCATTTCGCGCCTTTTTTCCTGAGTTACCTTTGCATACGCCATACCATGGCAAGCATGGAGCCCGCTCAGGTAACCGTCACCCTATGTCTCCTGGGTGCTGGCAGAGGTGGTACGGCTTTGCTGCACAGTAGCAGCAACCCATTGCCTTCTGGCAGCAGACGGTGCAATACGATTGGTAGTCGTCCTCATCGTGTCCGAGGTGCTCCTGGCCACGTCGGCTGGGAGCGCCTGGGCAGACATGGGCGCAGGGACTAAATTCGGAGTGACTTGACCAGGTCATTCTCTTTAGTCCTGCAGTCAGTCCTATTGAACCGTCTTATGGTGAGCGGGCAGGCGATATGGACTGCTAGCAGTCGTACTGTACCATCTTCTGCCAGGCAGGCAAGAGATGAGGATTGCTAGCAGTCGTATTGTACCATCTTCTGCCAGGCAGGCAAGAGATGGGGATGGCTAGCAGTCGTACTGTACCATCTTCTGCCGAGCCGCCATGAGATGTGGATGGCATGCAGTCCTTCTGCACCGTCTGCTGCCAGCCAAAGATGTAAAAGATAGATGGAGTGGGTCAAAACAAGAAATAGACCAGATTTGTTTTGTACTCATTTGCCTCCTCCCCTGTCTAGGGGACTCATTCCTCTAGGTCACACTGCAGTCACTCACAGAGAAGGTGCAGCGAGGTAAATCTAGGCATGTATCAGTCAGAGGCCAGGCTAACCTCCTTGTTCCAATAAGAACAATAACTTAGGTGCACCATTTCTTATTGGAACCCTCCGTGAAGTCCTGCCTGAAATACTCCTTGATGTACAGGCACCCCCTTTGTTGATTTTAGCTCCCTGAAGCCAACCCTGTAAGCCGTGTCGTCAGTCGCCCCTCCCTCCGTCAGAGCAACGGCAGACAATCGTTCCGCGCCTTTTTTCTGAGCGGACGCCATACCAAGGCAAGCATGGAGGCCGCTCAGCTCACTTTGGCAATTAGGAGCACATTAAACACCTCACGCATTATCCAGCAGTATATGCAGCACCAGAACCAGGCAAAGCGATACCGGGCGAGGAGGCGACGTCAGCGCGGTCACGTGAGTGATCAGGACATGGACACAGATTTCTCTGAAAGCATGGGCCCTGCCAATGCATGCATCATGGTGCTAATGGGGCAGGTTCATGCTGTGGAACGCCGATTCTGGGCTCGGGAAACAAGCACAGACTGGTGGGACCGCATAGTGTTGCAGGTCTGGGACGATTCCCAGTGGCTGCGAAACTTTCGCATGCGTAAGGGCACTTTCATGGAACTTTGTGACTTGCTTTCCCCTGCCCTGAGGCGCATGAATACCAAGATGAGAGCAGCCCTCACGGTTGAGAAGCGAGTGGCGATAGCCCTGTGGAAGCTTGCAACGCCAGACAGCTACCGGTCAGTTGGGAATCAATTTGGAGTGGGCAAATCTACTGTGGGGGCTGCTGTGATGCAAGTAGCCCACACAATCAAAGATCTTCTGATATCAAGGGTAGTGACCCTGGGAAATGTGCAGGTCATAGTGGATGGCTTTGCTGCAATGGGATTCCCTAACTGTGGTGGGGCTATAGACGGAACCCATATCCCTATCTTGGCACCGGAGCACCAAGCCGCCGAGTACATAAACCGCAAGGGGTACTTTTCGATAGTGCTGCAAGCTCTGGTGGATCACAAGGGACGTTTCACCAACATTAACGTGGGATGGCCGGGAAAGGTGCATGATGCTCGCATCTTCAGGAACTCTAGTCTGTTTCAAAAGCTGCAGGAAGGGACTTTATTCCCAGACCAGAAAATAACTGTTGGGGATGTTGAAATGCCTATATGTATCCTTGGGGACCCAGCCTACCCCTTAATGCCATGGCTCATGAAGCCGTACACAGGCAGCCTGGACAGTAGTCAGGAGCTCTTCAACTACAGGCTGAGCAAGTGCAGAATGATGGTAGAATGTGCATTTGGACGTTTAAAGGCGCGCTGGCACAGTTTACTGACTCGCTTAGACCTCAGCGAAACCAATATTCCCACTGTTATTACTGCTTGCTGTGTGCTCCACAATATCTGTGAAAGTAAGGGGGAGACGTTTATGGCGGGGTGGGAGGTTGAGGCAAATCGCCTGGCTGCTGGTTACGCGCAGCCAGACACCAGGGCGGTTAGAAGAGCACAGGAGGGCGCGGTACGCATCAGAGAAGCTTTGAAAAACAGTTTCATGACTGGCCAGGCTACGGTGTGAAAGTTCTGTTTGTTTCTCCTTGATGAAACCCCCCGCCCCTTGGTTCACTCTACTTCCCTGTAAGCTAACCACCCGCCCCTCCTCCCTTCAATCACCACTTGCAGAGGCAATAAAGTCATTGTTGCTTCACATTCATGCATTCTTTATTCATTCATCACACAAATAGGGGGATGACTACCAAGGTAGCCCAGGAGGGGTGGTGGAGGAGGGAAGGAAAATGCCACACAGCACTTTAAGCACAGCACTTTAAAAGTTTACAACTTTAAAATTTATTGAATGACAGCCTTCTTTTTTTTGGGCAATCCTCTGTAGTGGAGTGGCTGGTTGGCCGGTGGCCCCCCCACCGCGTTCTTGGGCGTCTGGGTGTGGAGGCTATGGAACTTGGGGAGGAGGGCGGTTGGTTACAGAGGGGCAGCAGTGGCAGTCTGTGCTCCAGCTGCCTTTGCTGCAGCTCAACCATACACTGGAGCATACTGGTTTGGTCCTGCAGCAGCCTCAGCATTGAATCCTGCCTCCTCTCATCACGCTGCCGCCACATTTGAGCTTCAGCCCTGTCTTCAGCCTGCCACTTACTCTCTTCAGCCCTCCACTTACTCTCTTCAGCCCGCCACCTCTCCTCCCGGTCATTTTGTGCTTTCCTGCACTCTGACATTATTTGCCTCCACGCATTCGTCTGTGCTCTGTCAGTGTGGGAGGACAGCATGAGCTCGGAGAACATTTCATCGCGAGTGCGTTTTTTTTTCTTTCTAAGCTTCACTAGCCTCTGGGAAGGAGAAGATCCTGTGATCCTTGAAACACATGCAGCTGGTGGAGAAAAAAAAAAGGGACAGCGGTATTTAAAAAGACACATTTTATAAAACAGTGGCTACACTCTTTCAGGGTAAACCTTGCTGTTAACATTACATACATAGCACATGTGCTTTCGTTACAAGGTCGCATTTTGCCTCCTCCCACCGCGTGACTACCCCCTCAACCTTCCCCCCTCCCTGTGGCTAACAGTGGGGAACATTTCTGTTTAGCCACAGGCAAACAGCCCAGCAGGAATGGGCTCCTCTGAGTGTCCCCTGAAGAAAAGCACTCTATTTCAACCAGGTGACCATGAATGATATCTCACTCTCCTGAGGATAACACAGAGAGATAAAGAACGGATGTTGTTTGAATGCCAGCAAACATACACTGCAATGCTTTGTTCTACAATGATTCCCGAGTACGTGTTACTGGCCTGGAGTGGTAAAGTGTCCTACCATGAAGGACGCAATAAGGCTGCCCTCCCCACAAACCTTTTGCAAAGGCTTTAGGACTACATCTAGGAGAACCGCAAATGCCAGGGCAAAGTAATCCTTTCACATGCTTGCTTTTAAACCATGTATAGTATTTTAAAAGGTACACTCACCAGAGGTCCCTTCTCCGCCTGCTGGGTCCAGGAGGCAGCCTTGGGTGGGTTCGGGGGGTACTGGCTCCAGGTCTAGGGTGAGAAACAGTTCCTGGCTGTCGGGAAAACCGGTTTCTCCGCTTGCTTGCTGTGAGCTATCTACAACCTCCTCCTCCTCATCATCTTCTTCGTCCCCAAAACCTGCTTCCGTATTGCCTCCATCTCCATTGAAGGAGTCAAACAACACGGCTGGGGTAGTGGTGGCTGAACCCCCTAAAATGGCATGCAGCTCATCATAGAAGCGGCATGTTTGGGGCTCTGACCCAGAGCGGCTGTTCGCCTCTCTGGTTTTCTGGTAGGCTTGCCTCAGCTCCTTCAGTTTCACACGGCACTGCTTCGGGTCCCTGTTATGGACTCTGTCCTTCATGCCCTGGGAGATTTTCACAAAGGTTTTGGCATTTCGAAAACTGGAACGGAGTTCTGATAGCACGGATTCCTCTCCCCAAACAGCGATCAGATCCCGTACCTCCCGTTCGGTCCATGCTGGAGCTCTTTTGCGATTCTGGGACTCCATCATGGTCACCTGTGCTGATGAGCTCTGCATGGTCACCTGCAGCTTGCCACGCTGGCCAAACAGGAAATGAGATTCTAAAGTTCGCGGTTCTTTTCCTGTCTACCTGGCCAGTGCATCTGAGTTGAGAGTGCAGTCCAGAGCGGTCACAATGGAGCACTCTGGGATAGCTCCCGGAGGCCAATACCATCGAATTGTGTCCACAGTACCCCAAATTCGAGCCAGCAACGTCGATTTAAGCGCTAATCCACTTGTCAGGGGTGGAGTAAGGAAATCGATTTTAAGAGCCCTTTAAGTCGAAATAAAGGGCTTCATTGTGTGGACGGGTGCAGGTTTACATCAATTTAACGCTGCTAAATTCGACCTAAAGTCCTAGTGTAGACCAGGGCTAAGGTGTTTAGGCACCTAATCCCATTGACTTCAATGCAACTCTGGTACCTAAACTGGTCGTAGGCTTTTTTGAAACTCCAGTAAGCAACTACCTGCATCTTTAGTGCCTATATGCCTTTGAACATCTGGCCCTTTGTGTAAAACAGGCATAATGGCATGTTCCTACTTCCCAGGAGGTGCTGTGAGGGTAAGTACATTATAGAACATGAGGTGATCAGATACTTTGGTTCTGGGGGCCATATGAGGACCTAAGAATAAATGCATACACATAATTGCACCAGCTCAATTAAAAATGTACAAGATATACAAGCTTTCATAGTACTGGGCAGGAGGCCAACAATAAATTGCCTGGCCAAATAATTCGCCATGTAGATGCTGTTGCATCAATATCCATTATGGGATCTTACAGCTCCTCTGTAGAATCCGAGACTGCCTACTAATAAAGGCATATTATTAAAGAAACCAGATTAGATGGATTGTTCTGGTGTGGCAATGCCCATGTTCCTTACCAAGTTTCAAAGGTTTCAGCCTTAGAAGACAGTAAATGACCTTCTCGGAGTCCCATTGGTACTTTTCTGTAATCATATGGATGCTGCTTTATCAAGTTTAACAGGAGACAGAGAAAAAAACTCCAGTGTTTCTTGTTTCCTTCCTCCTACTAGATATGTCCCATGGGGAAAGGAGAAGGGGAAAATCAAACGTCGATCACTGAGTTCATCCTCTTAGGATTTGGGAATGTCCCAGAACTGCAGGTTCTTCTCCTCCTGCTGCTTCCAGTGATCTACGTGGTGACCGTGGCTGGGAACATCCTCATCATTGTGCTAGTTGCCTCTGATCAGCACCTTCACACCCCCATGTACTTCTTCCTGGGGAACTTGTCCTGCTTAGAGACCTGCTACATCTCCATCATCCTGCCCAGGCTGCTGGCCAGTCTCCTGACGGGGAACAGAACCATCTCAGTCAATGGCTGCTTCATACAATTACATTTTTTTGGTTCTCTAGTAGGTGCAGAATGTTACCTCCTAGCTGCGATGTCCTATGATCGGTATTTAGCAATATGTAAACCTCTGCATTATGCAGCCCGTATGAAAGGGAGGTTCTGCCTCAAGCTAGCAGCTGGGTCATGGCTATGGCCATTTGTGGCTAGTACCCTACTTGTATGTTTAGTTTCACAATTAATATTCTGTGGCCCTAATGAAATTGACCATTTCTTTTGTGATTTCACCCCAATGACTAAGCTTTCTTGTAATGATACTAACTTGGTCATACTGGTGAGTTTCATACTCTGCTCCATAGAGGTGCTTTCCACATTTATATTAACAGTAACATCCTATATTTCAATCATCACCACCATCCTGAGAATCCCTTCCACCACCGGGAGGAAAAAAGCATTTTCCACCTGCTCCTCTCACCTCATGGTGGTGACAATTTTCTTTGGGACCCTGATCATTGTCTATATGCTCCCAGACGTTGCTGTACTGAGAGACCTGAACAAAGTGCTTTCTGTCTTCTACACTGTCCTGACTCCCCTGGCCAACCCCCTCATCTACAGCCTGAGAAACAGAGAGGTCAAGGAAGCCATGAGGAAAGTCATCCAAACTATGCGGCACTCACAAAAATTCAGATGGATTGACCGATAGGGGAGTCAACCTGTGTGGTTTAGCCAGCAAGTGAGGTAGCATTGAGGTTGCCCCTAGATCATGTTAATCACATGATCTGTGAGTAATGAGGGGATAATACTAACAGCTACATATTTCCTCTGCTTCTGTGTTCTGACTCTCCACATTTTACAAGGCACCTGGAATTCTGCACACCTCTGTATCTGGGAAGATAATGATAGTTTAGATAATTTAGTCAAGATTGGACTATTTCTTAGTATCTCAAGACTTGATCAATTCTGTCACTGATTGTGTCATTATTCATTAATTATTAATTAATATTAATTATTATTATATCTGACCATGTTCTATAAGTATGTCTTGTATGTGCCCCCAACTAAAATGTGGAAGTTAAATACCTCTCTGCTGTTTGACACATCATTCGTTAACTCTTTCCAGCAGGAGTTAGAACTTTAAAAATAAAAAGATGTCTCCCCTCCTCCACTTCATCAGCTACCCCACTTCGGGGAACCTTTCAAGCCTTCATCAGAGGCCTCATAAGTGCTGACCACTGTTGTAAATATAACTCCTTTCATGCTACATTAACTCACATGGTTTGAGAATACCCCTATGTCAAAAATTTCTGGTCTGAGGTTGGTCAAGGGACCAATTTGATACTGGATGCTAAGCCTTCCCCCTTAAGTTTTATTCCTTCACCTGTTCCTGATACCTGGAGATTACCTGGCAACAAGGCAGTGTGGTTCCACAATGAAGCTTTAGTCCCTAAAAAGTTAATCCTGCAAAACTGGAAAAGTTTCTCCCCACTTGAGCACTGCCTGGCTCAGTGAGTTGGGAGAGGTAGCGAACGAGTGGTGTTCTGCAGAAAGGGAATGGCCGGAAAATTCAAAGCAGTTTGGGCTGACTTTTTAAAGGTCTGTGATTAACCTAGACCCTGAAGATAAATATGTTGCTTCCCCTCCCTTTATCCTAACCCTCTTGATTTACATTATGTGTTATGATGAATCTGGTATTTTGGAATATTTCTTGTATTGGGAAAAGTTAATAAAAAAATGATAAATACAAAGGAGGAAATTTTGAAATGAACAATTAATAGTTTTTGTTCTGAAAATTTCAGACTATCCCATTCTGACATTCTTGAAATGTTTTTTTTAGTTTTCTTACATGAAATGGGTATGATGTTTTAAAAACGGTTTAATCAACATGGCATTGTCTGATGGAAAGCATTAGTTTTCCACGCGGCTCTAGTGTTAGGCCATGTAGAGACAAATGATGAAAAGACAGTCTGTGCCTTGAAATGCTCACAGTCTAAGTAAGACAAGAGACAATAGGTGGTACAACAGACAGACCACAGAGGGAGGACAAGGTAAAATGAGACAGGACAGTTCAGCATGAAAAGAAGTGACCACAGCACATCATCTGCCTCATTAGTGACCTCAGGGCCGGATCCTGCCATGGGCTGAGCATTGATAACCCTGAGGGCATCAGCACTGTGCCAGAGGAGACATTTAGAAAGCCCTCCTAAAGTCCTTTCTTACATCCTGAAAACACCTCCTTGTGCAGGTAGCCTGGGATTGCCAAAAAAGCTTAAAGGAGTTGGGCACCCATCTTCCTCTGAAAGTCAGTGGTACTTGGCATCTAAACCCCTTAGGCTCCTTTGAATATCTTAGATGCAGCTGTTACTTATCCCACCGAAGCCAGTGAGCATGCTCACATGAATCAAGGCTAGTAGGACTCGAAGATTCATAAATTTCAAGGCCAGGAGGGACTGTCAGACCATCTAGCCTGACCTGCAGAACACTATCCAGAGAGCTCCACCCACTGATTCCTGTAGCCAGTCCTATCATTTGGGTTTCACCTACAGCATATCATTTAGCACGTCACTCAACAAGACATTAAGGAATGGAGAATCCACCACATCACTTGGGGATCTGTGGATGAGGCCCTTAGTCCTTTAAAAGCCCACTAAGTTTGTGGTGTACATTGCTGTGTAACCAAAGTTGGGTTAACAGAAGCTCCATGGGGCCTGGGTTCAGAGGGGTTTCATTGACGCAGCTATCTGGGATCCAGTGATCTATGGAGGGTCCCTACTGGGGTCTGCTAAGGGGCGATGGGGGCACCACATGCAGGGAATGGAAGCAGAAGTGATGTGAAGCATGGGATTTAGAATCATTAGAATCATTAGAATACCAGGGTTGGAAGGGACCTCAAGAGGTCATCTAGTCCAACTCCCTGCTCAAAGCAGGACCAATCCCCAATTTTTGCCCCAAATCCCAAATGGCCCCCTCAAGGATTGAACTCACAACCCTGGGTTTAGCAGGCCAATGCTCAAACCACTGAGCTATCTCTCCCTCCCAAAGTGTCCCAAAGTGTGGACTTTGTTTGAGTTAGCCCGTATCTGTCTTACTCCACCAGCATCACCATTATTCTTTTGTTCTCCATGTGCTGCACCTTTACATGTCAAGAAGTCCATCATTCTGTGAGTGGCAGCTGCCATTTTCTCTTCGGTTCTGACATACACCCTGTGCTCTCCTCTCCTAGACATTCTCGGTGGCACTTTCCAAACCTGCTAAAGGATTTTGGTACCGTCTCCAAGGCAGCATTAACATTTCTTCCCAATAGTGCATCAGAGACTGGGATTTTCAAAGGGCGCAAGGGATTTAGGTGCCCAACTCCTATAGAAATTTAATTCACCCTCCTTAGTGGTTGGGGCACTAGCCTAGGGGGAACCTAGGTTCAAGTCTCTGTTCCACCACAGACTTCCTATGTACTGGGCAAATCACTTAGGCCCAGACCCACAAAAGGATTTAGACACCTAACTGCCATGTGAGACCCCTAAGCCTGACCTTTAGAAGCCACTGAGATCCTCAGAACCCCTGCTCATCTGACACCGAACTCTGGAGGCACCTAAAAGTCCCTAGACACCTAAATTTTGCCCACTAATGTCCCCAAGGTGCCTAAGTTTCTGTCACGGGGCTTGTGCCTTGTTACGTGAGCCCCAATGGCTGGTGCCTATCTCACAGCAAAGCCATAGCTGGATACCCCAGCTCGGCATTGTCC